CAGCCGGTGATGCTCCCCACCAATAGATGGAGTCTCTCCTCAAGGTGTTAGCGGTGTCTGCTCTTACCAGCAGCACTAGCACTAGAGGGGTTGTTGCAAAAATCTTCTCTTTTTTGGTCGACGGCTGTAAGGAACTTATCGGAATTCATAGATGTGTGCAACCAGACCCTTAGGGGTGATAGTCACCACACTTCTTCGTGCTGCTTTTCAGCAGCCAGGTCTTTATTAGGACTATTTTGACTAAAGAAGTTGATTGCACGTGAGATCAAGGCAGTGCACATGAAAAGAAGGAGGGCCTACTCCATGTCGCACCTCGTCGACCTTGGCTGTTTTTTCAACCGAGCTCTGGACATGATGCAGTTGGATCTATCCAGGTCTTGCCTTAATCCCACTCAAATACAGTAAGAAAAGTGCTTGTGTGAGAATGTTCAGGGATGATGGGCCCGCTTTCCAGCAGGTGCTGCTCCCCACCAATAGATGGAAACTCCCCGAGAGTGCTAGTGGTGCCTGCTCGTACCAGCATCCCTAGCACCTGAAAAAAAAAAGTAAAAAAAGTGTGAGAATGCCCTGAGTATGGGGGGAAAATATTGTATGGTATGACATTGTACCTGCCTCATAACCACCACGGAGTACTTTTCACATACAAATGACTGAGACGGGCCGTGTCTTTAGGGGTGTACTGGCATCTTTAGGGATGTACCGCCGTGGTCTTTTGGTGTTTGGCACATTATTCATCCAGACAAAATGGGGTCGTGCGCGGCAGGCCAGCCATCCTTTCAAAAGAAGTGGCATGTGCACAGCCTCGTCTCAGAAATTTGCCTGTGAAAGGTACGCGTGGATTAATGCGCACTGGCTGCTGGGCATCTGTAGGTGGCTACAGGGTGCCAATGCTGCAGTTCCAAGAACCTGTCGACCCTCCAATCGATCAAGAGGATCAGGGGCCCAGGATGGGTTTTAGCTATGTATATTTCTAGTGGAATGTTCACACAGAGTCAGCCTGACAAGAGACACGATGAAAAGAGTGGTAAGAACAATGACAGGAAAAATACTAAAAATAGGCATGAAATTTGATGAAAACAAAAAGGAAGGAATTGATCCCTGCAAGCATAGCTACCTTTCAAATTGAAGGAAGGGGTTGCATGGGCTAGCACAAAGACCGAGCATTTTGCCAGCAGCTGTGCCTCCCTTTTCTTCTACCTCCTTAGGAGCAGTGGTAGGTGGACCGTGAAAGGTGAATCTGAGAGAAAAATACAGCTTAGCCCATTGCCCCCCGGCCCCTCCCCCCCCCCTCCCCCAGCATTGGCAGGACCTTGGCCAATATTGTTGGGTGCTATGCAACAACTATGTTTGCCATTAGACACAGCTAATGTCCGTGCCACTTTGTGAGGATATGGTTGTATCTATGGGACGCTGGACCCGGTTTCCAGCAGGTGTTGCTACCCACCAATAGATGGAGCTTTGTTAAAATAAAAAAATAAAAAAAGTGGGGTTGGGGGGGGTGAAGGGGGAGATGCAGCTACTGGCCATAGCACTCGGCACTACCAAATAGCACTGCCGCTTTCCCCCTCAGCAACACCTGCCCACCCCTCATCACAGTGATGAGGGGCTGGTGTATCAGCCTTGCTCTCCTCCCGGGCTGGGGAGAGTTCTTGGTTGGTTGGTGTTCCCCCGTAATATGCACAGAGTAGCGAGAGGATGAGATAGATGATCAAAAACATATAAAGACATTGGGCCTCGTTAGACACTCGTTACGGTTTCCTTGAGCCACAAGGAAACATCCTTGTGGCTTCTTAGGGGAATTTGCGGCGTCGTTCCACTCATCCTTGGGGACGGCCCCCCAGGATGTTTCCTTGTGGCTTCCCCGCGGCCATTTTTATACATAAATTAGCGGCCGCGGGGTCGGTCGTCCTTGGTCCAGCTTCTTTTGTCCGTGTGGAGGCGGCGTGATCCAGCGACGCGAGGCAGGAAATGGCAGACGGCGGGCGACGCGAAAAGAAATTGTACCCCAAGGGTGTGGGCATTTGAAATTCAAAATTCGAACGAGTGCTGCGACGACGATGACGACGTGTGCCTGGCGGCGCGAGGGTGGCGTGCTGCGGAAAGGGGCTCGGCGGCGGCGGAGGTTCCGTCCCGAGGCCGTTGCGACTGCGAGGGCAGCATGTGGTGCTTCCATCGTCGTGGACCTTTGCACACGTCGACTGCGCGTTGCTCCTCGTTGCCGTTTCCGGGACTGTAAGCATAGAAAAGTGGCCGCCTTTCGACGGACGTCTTCGACTTCTTCGTCGTGTGCGGAAGTACGACACAGACGGCAGCGGAACGACGGGACCTTTTCCACGTCGCGGCTATAGAGGGCGGCGCAGAGGGTAGACGTGATGTGTTGACTCCTCGTGAGCTGCAGGCTGTGGCGACGGCCGTGTCCACGATCGTTCTTCGATGTCAGCAGGAGAGGGCGCTGGGGCGACTGAAGGAGCAGTTGCGCGCGCGTAGACGGAGGAAATTGACGCAAGATCCGTGCGATGGGGCCGAATATGTGGTGACGTCGGAGGCTATTGTTCAGCTGTGCTACGCGTTGGGTTGCGGAGTGATACCACGTGCGACGCCGCGGTGGTGGGAAGTGCAGGACAGGAGGCACGTGGGAAGACCTCAGGCAATGCGACGACGCGGCAAACGACTACTTCCAGGATAAGCTTCGAATGTCGCCACGAGTGTTCCGGGAAATCGCGGAGGAGTGTGCGCCTCATCTTCAGCGGCGGGTGACGTTCTACAGGGAGCCTTTGCAGCCGGACCAGATTGTGGCGTACGCGCTGTATAGGTGGGCTTCAGGGGAGACGTACGAGAGCAACACGTGCAACTTCGGGATTGGACGAGCTTCTGGCCTGATTGTCGTCCGCGACGTGACTGTCGCGCTGCTAAGGGTGTTCGGAGAGAAGATCGCGTGGCCGACAGGAGTTCGTAAACTCATCGTTCTGCAGGCGTTTGCTGACAAGGGTTCCCCAACTGCCACGGTTGCATTGATTGTACTCACATCTATGTCGACAAGTCAGCGAACGCTCCGAGCGAAAACTACTACGACAGGAAGCGCCGTTTTTCCATCGTCTCGCAGGTTGTCGTCGACCTGGACTTGCGTGTGCTCGACGTGCACATGGGATACCCAGGTAGTTGCCACGACATCAGGGTGCTGCAGTTATCCAGCCTGTCGCTGCGTGCAGAGGAGGGGTCGTTGTTCCGCGGTCCCCCCGTGACACTGCTGTTCGGTGTGAAGACGAACGGGTATGTTCTGGCGGACAATAGCTACCCCCTTTCCGAATGGATGGTCGTCCCGTGTGGAGGCATCGATCAGCACGTCGACGAGCAGCGGTTTGACCACAAACAAAAGGTAGCACGGGGAGCGATGGAGAGGGCGTTCGGCAGGCTGAAGGGCATGTGGCGGCTGTTTCTGCGGACACACAAGACAAACCTGGAGACGCTACCACAACAGTTCACCGCCGTATGCATACTGCACAACATGCTGATCGACGCTGAAATCCCCTTTGACGAGAATCTGCTATGGGAGGTCGACGCTAATGGTGTGCGACGATGTGTGGAGCTGGGGATCGAAGAGCCCCTCCAGCCTGTGTCGATGATGACGTCGACAGACGAAAGGTTGGCGTTGAGGGATGCTTTGGCAGAACGATTGAAACACGATTGAGTTGTGTTTCATTCGTGGACGGCAGCGCGTGGAAGTGCATTCATTGCAGCAATGGGCGGAGGGCAGATTCTTTGTTTCGTCCTGCCTTCATTAGGTCGCTATCGTCTGTACCCCGTCGGGGTTGGTGGTTTGCGTGGAGGATCGTGTTCCCCATGGTGGACGACAGCGTGTCACTGCGCGTGGAAGCGCGTTCATTGTAGCAATGGCCGGAGGGCAGATTCGTTGTTCCGTCCAACCTTGATTGGGTTGCTAGCTTCTGTCCTGCATCGCGGTCGGTAGTTTGCGTCGTGGGTCGTGTTTGGTTGCCGTCGCGATTTGCTGACGTGCGTCGCCGTCCGTTTTCTTGAATTTTGTTATTGTCGTTGAAGTTCTGTAGTGCGGACACGGCGCACTGCGGGTGTGAAGTGCGCCGATTTTGAGCACAGAGGTTAGAGCATTGTTGGTCATTCGGGTGGCCATGAAACTTCTTCCCCACCTCCCTTCGAATTTGAACTCTCCGATATGAATCGTTGAACGACATCGCAAATCCCTTTCTAAGTTTGTGTCGTCGATTTCCATTACGTGTTGGCATTGTGTGTGTGGGTATTTCATTGCGTCGATATTGTGTGTTGCTATTTCTTTGCGTTGATGCAGTTTGCCATTGCTTGTTGACAATGTGTTCTGTTGGACATCGCATGTTGTTTGATGCGCTGCGCTTTGTCTTCATGCGAGTGTTGGACTGGATCAGAAACACATGTTTTGTTTGTCATTCGGAGTAAGTGGGGGAGGAAAAAAAAAAAGAAAACCAAACAAAGCAACGACCGACAATGGCACATGCAAATGGAGAAACACAACTTATTGTGCATCCAAGAAAGCAAGGAGCGTTCGGTGTGTGATGAGTGATCAGTCATGATCTTGAAACTGACGAAATCTCCTTCTGAATTGAAATTAAAAAAAAAAAAGGGTGCGCTCCAAGCGCGATCAACTGGTCTCGCCGCAAACTGCGCCGACAACAACACAAAATGACATGGCTGAAACCTACTCCGCTCCTACAATATGCTGAAGAGAGCGCCGTTTACCGTCGCTTCTCCAGCATCGGCAGCCAAACACCATCCACATCCACGAGCAACCACGACCGCAGTTGCATCAAGCACCCTGCCAGACTGGACGACCTGAACCGTCGGTCGTCTGCAAGCACGAGCGACAAGGTGTAAAAACACAAACACGAACTTTAAAGGGAAAGGCCATCAACAATCCGTTATCGTAACGCGGCGCCACCAAACCTGCGTCTCGGACGCCACCAAGCGCTCCCCCCTCTCCACTTCCCTTACCCACGCTGGAACACGCGACCCGTTCGCGTACCCTCTCCCGCCGTGCACGTGTCAGCACCAGCAACACCCTCTCCCAACCAACCTCCCCCCTACGTGTCCTCTTTATCATCGTCGTCGTCGTCCTCCAAGGGGCCCGAACCCAACCAATCCCTCCTCTTCGCGTCCTCTGGCCCTGTTATGGTCGCATCGTGCCCGAAGACGATGTCGCAGGAAGCCCAGTCGGGGATGTACTTCGGGTAGTCTCCGAATGTGGCGTTCGCCTTCCCTAGTCTCTCCGTGACGGTGTTCGTGGCTCGGATGACGGACCGTCGATGATCGAAGGCGCGATGCATGGACGAGACGAGCGTGGGCTTCGCGACCAGCTTCGCGAAGTAAAAGGCTTCGTAGTGGCTGCGCGGATCATCTCCCGCCATGCGCATCAACCACATGCAGGCAGCCAACAAAAGCCTGAAGCAATCCGCAATTCTTGACAGACGATCGTGTGAGATGAACCCGGCGTCGACGACGCGGCGCGAAATGCATGCGCGATGCATATAACGGTCGGCTCCTGGTGCGCCGCCATGTCGTCCTCCTCCGGCCTGTCCTCGATGTTCGCGCCTGCAAACCACAGTGGCAAGTCCATGTTGAGGTTGATTTGTGTGCGAGCAAACGGTCACGCTAACGACGTTGCTCCACTCCTCGCCGAGTCGCCGTACCACATGACGCGCGCAATGTCCGTCGCCACCGACTCCAGCGCGTACTGGAAAGCGACATTGAATCCTCGGGGGCAGTTTCCGGACTTGAACACCCATCCGTGCAAGACGTGCAGAGCAATATTCTCCGCTGTCGTCGCGCGGGCGATCGCTTGCTGCAGTTATGCGGGATCTGCAATCCTTGTTAGGGTCGTGGACGATTTTGGCATGACGACGCTCCTGGGCATGGCGGGCGTTTGCAGCCCGCTGGCGATGGGGACACAAAGTACTCCCGCATTTTGTGGACGATGTTGTACAACCTTCGCCCCTCCCCCGTCGTCCAGAATGCTTTGTCATCCACCCACAGGCGGGCACGGTCGGCCAAATCTCTCGCCATCCCCCCCTTCCGAACCCGGCTTAGAAGGGGGTCTTCATCCTCCTTTTCACCCTTGTTGTCGCCGTGCGTTGCCTCCCGCTCCACGACTGGGACCTCCTCTCTCGCCCTCGCCACGGCAGCAACATTGCCCGAAGACCCCGCGGTTGCACCAGCGATCGCCCCCCCACTCGCCACGCGCGCTTCTTGTTGGGCCCCCTCCCCTCCCTCGTGTTCCATGGAGCCGCCCTCTGCAACCGCGTTGCGCGGACGCGGCTGGGACAGCGTCAAAGGCAGGCCACCCTGAGGTGGCCTTTCTTCAGTCGCGGCGCATATCCTAACTGTCGTGGTCGTGGAGCCTTGTGTGACAGTGCGCTGCCTACGGCTTTCCAAGGGCTCGTCGTCCTCGCCGCCGACGTCGACGACAACCTCCTTCGCCTTCGGGGTGTTGTCCGCACGCACTTGTTGCGCCTCCGGAGGGGGTGTCAGCAATCTCCTCGCACCGCTCTGATCAGATGACCGTTGAAGACTGCTTCCTCGAGGCGCCAGCACGTTGTCCTTTGCTGCTTCCTCCTCCGTCGTGAACACGTCGTCATCTTCCTCTTCGTTGGTTGCCGCCCAACTTCGCCCTCGCTGAAGAGGCAGGCTTGCTGATGCTTCTTCCGAACGGAGCCTCTTCGCCTTCGGGACATGCCGCCGACCCCTTTCCCGCCCCTGAGTGTCCTCGGGGATCTTTTCCCGCTTCTTGCCACGGGCGCCACCTCGTGCAGACATGCTTCCCGCCTCCGTCAATGGTCGTTTGTGGCTACGCCTGCATTCGCACTGACGACGATCAAGCGCCTTTGCCGCCCTGGGGACCTATGCGTCCACGTGCACCGAAGTACTGGTGGCAACACTGGCGAGACTGGTCCACGATGAGAAGAAGACGACACAGACGACGGCGAACCCCCAAGTGGCGAGAGAGATCCGCGACGACAAAGACAGAGGGGCCCGCCCTCGCCACACATACTAGCTCGACATCGACGCGATCGCGAGAAGGAGATGAACCCTGCGGAGCCTGCTCCGCGGCGAGAAGAAGATGTTCGCGATTAAGCGACGCTGGACCTCCCAAGGGGCGATACGGATCCGCGGCGAGAAGGATCGGCGGTGAGAAGGAGAGCGACAAGATCCACAGCGATGATCGACGACGACATTGAAGAAGTCCCAGACGAGAAGGAGATGACCCCTGTGGACACTGCTCGACGGCAAAAAGAAGATCTTCACGACTACAGGACGCCGGACCTCCCAAGAGGCGATAGGGATCCCCGACGAGAAGGATCCACGGCGAGAAGGAGAGCGACAAGATCCACAGCGATGATCGACGATGATTTTGAAGAAGTGGAAGACAAGGAGGACAGCGAAGAAACGGGCGACCACGCGATCGCTGTGCGGCGCGACGACGAGAAAATGCAGAGGGCGCCCCGCGTGGATGTCGTCGCTGTGCGCCGTGTGCGCCGACCTTCAGTGCTGGAGAAGCCGCAAGCGGACGACCTTTGTGGTGAAGGAGGCGCAAACGCATCGAAAGCATGGAGCAGACGAACGGGCCCCGATGTCGATTCCTCGCCTGCCGTCATTGTTGACAGTGACACGTACGACAACAACTCTCCAGACCTCCTTCGCGCACACTCCCTTCAACTGTTGCCACGACCAAAATTTCCTCGACACGAACGGTGACACCCCCGTCCACCTCAATCCTCGAACAACATAACCCCTTCAACAACTGGCCCTCTCGCTGTGGAGACCGCAAATGCAGCACATAGTACTCTCCTGGAAAACAAAGTGCAACAACTAAAAAAAAAAAAAGATTCTAAAAAAGGTGTCGCTAAGCATTTGGTGACGACACACACACACACACACACACACACACACACACACACACACACACACAGAGGTCGCCATCTTCGCAGGCGCAACGAGTGACGAGACAGGCCACTAAGCAACGGTGGGCATTACTGGCAGCATCACTCATGATCTGTCGCGGATGACTTTTGCTATCTCCATAAGGGTGTGGCACATCATTCTGTCCGCCTCATCCGCCGCAGCATAATGTTTCCTCTGCACTTCCACTTCGCTCTCTAGGATTTCGCACTAACATAACATCATCAAGCATTGCCGCTTGCTCGCGCTGTCCATCGTGTTCGCCATGAGCGCACCATGCTTGTCCATGACCTCAGCGACAGCCTTGAAGGTTTGTTGTCGCGTGTTCTTCCTCTTCCCATAACCGCTGCCGCTCCCCGCGCTGAATGTGGAGTCTTTTGTCGACCCCTGCTCCTCGTTGGCTGCCTCCCCTCCACCCTCAGTGCCCATGGTGTCCCCTCCATCCCCCGCGCCTGCCGGCATCTGAACCCCACTGGCCGCCTTTGTGTCCGCCAAATTTTTCGGGTGGATCGTGTGATCCCCCTTCGTCATGGCCTCCATTTCGTCGTACACGCTCCGGTCCATGACGAAGCTGAAGCCCTCCGATCGCCTGGCCTTTGAAGCAAGCTTGAAGTAGTCTTTTCCGCCGGAGAGGTTCTGGAACTTGTGGACTTTTTTGAATTGCTGCATCAAGTTGTCCCATTTCTTCCCGGAGTCGACAGCATCCCTCGTCACGCCCATCGACTGCAACCTCGCCCGCACGTCCTCCCACTTCCACTCCCTCGTTTTCATGCGGCCGAAACTGGTGCCCATGCCGGCGATATACAGATCTTGATACCTTTTTGCCCTGACCAGTGCGATCGTATCTTTGAGCGACCAGAAATTTCGGCCGCCCTCGCCATCGCTCCGGCCCGTGTCGTCATCCATTTTCTTGCTCCGTCGACTTTTCGTAGCAGGACCCTTCCTCGCAGTCGCTCCGCCATTCATCTCGTTCCTCCCCAGCGGCCTAATGTCTGGCAAATCGTCGGAGTTGCAATCATCGTCACCCCGGATCCGCTTCGCGATGCAGGTGACAACCGCATCCACTCCGGACGTTCACGCGCACCGACTCCTCCGCCGACGGTCGACGTCGGCTCATGCCGATTACCACCACCTTCACGAGGCGATGGAGGCACACCGCCGTCTCGCGGCCCGCACACACCGCCGTGCGTGTTGTCCGCGCAATCCACACCCGGGTGGGGATTGATGATCCGAGTGTGCGTTGCCGCTGCTCTGCTGTTGCTGGACAACTGGAAGCTGAGATCAACCGCTGCATGTCGTCGTCGTTGCGCAGCCCCTCGTTCGACAGTGACGTGTAAGACCATGGGGTCTCCACCCGCCTTCCGCGGCACGACTGCGTCGCGCTCATTCCTGCGTCGACCCACTTCCCAACGGCAAAGTTGACGACCTGGCGTCTCCCCCCTCGTCATCCGACGGCGGCAGAGGAATCTCGTGAGAGGGCAGGTGTGCATACAACCTCGGGTCGTACGGCCGCTTCGCCACAGACCCCGCACTGTGTTGCCGATTGCTCGCTCCGGAGGTTGTGCCTGCCGGTCTGCCGTTGCCCAGTCGTCGATCCATCCTGTTGGCTTTCTTCGAAGATCTCCTTCTGCGAGCCGCGACCGGGACGAGGCTGATGAAACACACGTGGAAGAAGACAACGACGAGAAGCAGCATGACGACGAGGACCAGCAGAGGCAGCCTGTGCAGCCGATCGGCCATGTAAGGGCCGTTCGAAGGGCTTCAGTGTGACGTCAGCAGTCGACCGTTCAACGAACAAGCCCGTCGACACAAGAGAGATTGGTGGAAGTTCTGTGCTCCAACGTGCGAGGCGTGACGACAATCGAAGAAAACGACGATCTTGTCCAATGAGACTGTCGTCGTTGAAAGGGGCGCCGGGTGGGAAAAGCATTCGAATTTCGGACCGTTGTCGATGATCGCATGCCGCGGCAGACCTGACCGGACGCCGGCTGGCATTTCGTGTCGACAGACGGAGGCCTCCCGACGCCGGTGACCGTTTGGAGCCGTTGGGGCGCCGTGCAAATTTTGGACGCAGGGATGTCCGTGCTCCGGTTCGCTGGACCACATCTGGACCACCCTCGAACCGAAATTGTGTGTCGATGCATGCCTTCGCCGCTCCGAAATTCGCGCTTCCTTGTGCTCCAAGGGACCTTGGGGTTTAGGAAAAATTGGCTGTGGCCACAAGGACGCCACAAGGAAATCTCCTCCTAGTGTTTTCACATTTGTTTTCGGGAATAGTCCCCAAGGACAGGTGGAACGATCATTTCCTTCTGGATTTCGGGTCCACAAGGAATGTCTAAGGAGGCACATTGACAGAAGAAGATAGATTAGTTATTAGAAAAAGAAAAAGGGAAAAGGAAAAACCAAAAGGAATGGATGTGCCTGTCCTTCGGGACATGCTTTAAATTTCAACGACTGCCACACGAGAGAGCGGCCATGAGCAAGGATGACACGCTTAATCTGTCCTAGCTCAGTTGGTACACGCTATCCAGTGAAATACTAAATCGACTAGTGTGCCATTGAAAAGACGCTGTCACGCTGTCACGCTGTCGTTCACACATCGGCAAAAAACACAAGGAAAGCGTGGATGGAGTAGGCGCGCCCAGCCATTCGAAAAAAGTGGGAGTGCCCGCACTGAGGAAGACAGGGCGCCCCAGGCAATCAGAGACTGGTATTGTTCATCTAAACTCAGGGCATACTCACACCAGGACTTTGTGGACTGAGAGATGGACTCGATCACAGTCAGATGCATCCACCTCTGGCTGTAAATGCAGTCAGATACATTCTGGAAAGTGCGCCTGTGAGTATGCCCTCAGCTGTGTATTTTAACAGTTCCAACTAGGCTAGGCCCATTGGTCCCAGTGCCTGCTCTCTCTCTCTCTCTCTCTCTCTCTCTCTCTCTCTCTCTCTCTCTCTCTCCCCC